GGATTGGCTCACCTTCTCTGCCCTAGGACCGTGGAATGGCAGCAGGGGAGCCTCTTCCTGGGCACTGGGATTGGCTCACCTTCTCTGCCCTAGGAGCATGGAATGGCAGCAGGGGAGCCTCTTCCTGGGCACTGGGATTGGCTCACCTTCTCTGCCCTAGGAGCATGGAATGGCAGCGGGGGAGCCTTTTCCTGGGCTCTGGGATTGGCTCACCTTCTCTGCCCTAGGACTGTGGAATGGCAGCAGGGGAGCCTCTTCCTGGGCTCTGGGGAAAGTGGGCGTTTCTTTTTTAAAATTTTTTGTTAGTATATTTGTAATGTAGAATGTGAGGTTTATTTTGGGAAATTGTACACATATGTAGCATACCTTGATAGTTTTCAACCTCTTTACCCCTCTTTCTCTTTTTTTTTTTTTTGGTACTGGGGATCGAACTTGGGACCTTGCGCTTATGAGGCAGTTGCTGGAACCACTGAGCTAGATCCCCAGCTACCCTTCTCTCCTTTTCTTCTCCCTTCCCTCTAATTCTCTTTCCTGTCTCCAAGAGTACCCTTTACAAAAGGCAAAAGATTTATATAATCTGAAGAGAAACCAGAATATCCAAGAGTACCTTTTAGTTTCCTGTCATTTCTCCTTTATTTTATTCATTTATTTATATTTTCATTTTCTCATGTAAGAGAAAACATGTGATATTTAACTTTCTAACTCTAGCTTATTTTGTTTAGTATGATGGTCTCTTGTTACATCCATTTCCTACAAAGGACATGATTTTAGTTTTCTTTTGGCTAAATAATATTCCATAATGTATATGTACCACATTTTCTTTATCCTTTCATCTATTGATGGGCATCTAGGTTGTTTCCAGAGCTTAGCTTTTGTGAATTGTGCTGCTATAAACATGGGTATACATGTAGCACTATAGTATGATGTCTTTAATTCCTTTGGTAATATACACTTGGGAATATATCTGGGTCAAATAGAATTTCTATTTTCAGCTTTTTGAGGAATCTCCATACTGATTTCAGTACTGGTTGTACTAGTCTATATTCCCACCAAAAATGCATGTTGCCTCCTTTTTCCTCATTTATTCATTGTTTTTTGTTTCCTTGATGATAGCTATTCTGACGGGGGTAAGATAGAATCTCAAAGTTGTTTCTGAATGACTTTTGACTACATTTTTAAAAAATCATAAGGTTTTATTACAATTTGTTTAATACCACAA